AGAAGAACGCATAAGTGTCTCGATTATTTATTAACTACAAAGCAAACAATAGGAATATTAATTAAGATAATTTCTCTGCAAGTCGTTCATAAGGAACTCGCTTCGCAAACGGTGAACCTTGAACGCCGTGTGATCTAATAGAACAACTACAAGTTTTACTAAAAAAAATACAGCTAGGAGCCTAGACCTACTCGTAGTTACTGTTTATTGCCAAGGTCGGTCACGGTAGGTAAAGTGAGCCGTCAAAACATGCCATATAGTTGACTCAAAACAAAAAAGTGAGAATGATAAAACGCAATAGACGGATAGTCAATTTTTTAACTTTGATTTGACATAAGGTCTCAAACCTACAAACGAATCGTATTAGAAGTTGATTAGATAAAAATCTAGATGATACGGTGATATATTCATCTCTCACATTTTTCAGTGGGTTTCTAAGAAAGCTAATTACATATTTATACGTTTCCACTGTGGTCGAGATGAGATCATATATACAATTAAAAAAAATTTATTGAACCAGAACTGAAATGACCTTGATAGCACGAAAGTGATCCCATTTTAAGCTGTATTTTAGCGTAAATTCAAATGTTTCTCCAATCTGTACTTCATTGCTGTCCGTTTGTTGATGAAGACTAATCCAAACGCCCTTCGCGCTAATATGCATAATATGGAACTCTCTACGAGAGGTATCAACATATCTCTATTTTGACTATAGCTGTGCATATCAAATGAGTTTAATAAATCGTTATATATGTATATATAATGCCAACACATTTGCCAAACTTAAATACTCATAAATACATGAGTACACTATATCGTTCTAAACGACTTGCTTGAGCCTTAACATTGTCCAGATGATACAACGTTTCGTACTGAAAAGAACCACGATTGCTATAATTGCGTCTCAATGCCACCCCTAGCGTTTTCAATATCGGTTCGGAAGGAAATTCAGGCCGAACTGTTACGCAGGCGTATATTCTATTATGTACACCCTTAACGAAACGTTCATACGCATAGCGGCCACTAAAATGCCCGCTAGGTGAGTCGCCGTTTACCATTGGTTAATCAGCTCGATCAATGAGACGGCCGTATTGCGTATTGGTAAATAGCAGACAGAGCGACTCTACGTTGACGGATGTGCAGAGAGAAGAAACAAAAGATCTAAATACCAATACAATATAGCAATATTTTTATTCATCAATTATTAGCGGACGACTTGACTGTTTATCACCCCTTCTGAACGTACTCGGAAGCATGAATTGTATTTTGAGATGGGTTAGATAGATACGCCGGACGATAATATTATTCTGCCAATCAACAGGTAATGAATTCTATTTTAGCAGGATATCGAGGTCTTAGTTTCTGCCACTAATCGTAGGGTTTAGTCTTTGTATTGATTTCAAGACTACAATACAGTACAACTACGCCTTCAAGAGAATGACACGAAGGTAAAGTAAAAGCTTTCATAATTCTATGCGAACAATATTTATGTACGATGTAATACAAACTGCTTATTATGTAGTATGCTATATATAGTAGTTTGATTATATTATTAGAATACATTGAAAATTATACAGGTCCTGAGAGCTCACAGGGTTGAATCTTTCAGCTTTATCCCGATACTTTTATGCCGGCGATAATAACAGTCACAACGACAAACGCAATCTATTTGATGAATCATGGAATCATTTGAATCATGGAGAATACATTTTAATAGATTTTCTAACCTAGCGTTCTTTTTTCTAAAGACGGGACTGTCGGACACTCAAGAGCGCGATCAACAACGACAAGACAACACAAGACGGCTAGCGTTTAGATCTTTTTCTCATTTTTGTGGCCAGAACTGGAAGACCTCGGTTATTATCTGAACAGAACGTTTTCCCCGAGGGCAAACTGGCTTGTCCATACGATGATCAGCTAAACGCCTGATTACGTCGATCAGATGAATGCTTTCCATCAATTTTGCAAAACGGTAACAAGAAATAACACGACAAAAAAGTACGGCCTACTGGCGCCTAGGGGTGCCACCCTTCAAAGTTTAGATTCTGCACGTCTGTCGTATTTGTTGTCATTTATGTCGCCCTATCGATGCCGCTGCTTAGCTCGGCACGTTATTCGACTAGTCTTCTATACGCCAGCTCTTTTTTCTGACATTACCTTTTCTTGCGTCTTCACTAACCGTTAAGCAATCACAGATTGTTTTGTCGCAGTTGATGACTATCATTAACCGACAAAGAATATACTGATCAAATAGAGGTACTAATGATAATAAAGTACTGTATCATCCCGTCTTATTTCTTAGAACGGTGAGTGGTTAGTTAAATCGGTAGAGCAGGTAACCAATCGAAAAACACAAAATATGTTGACGTAAATATTGATCGTTTATTCGAATATTAAAAGGCCGCAGTATAACGAACTCATAATTAGCAATCAAGTCAATAAGCTTATCCATTTTTAGGCGGCCGAATAGGTTAATCGCTGAAACATATTAAAAATAGGCCAAACGGGATTCAAGAAGGTGAACATAAGATCGGTTAAATTTGGTTGTGATTACCGTCAAAGGTTTCATATAATAATATATTTTCCATGCAAGCGATGGACCAGGAAGCGGGCAACTGTCTCAAACCTGAATCCTGCTTCTTCAAATCGTGCTTCGGCCAGTTTTTGTATAGGTTGAACAAATATCAGTTATTTAGTCATGTATTGCAGCTTGAGAGTTGTCGACTTGCACGGCTTAAATCTCCGTTTAGTCTCGTACACGATCGGTCATTGCCTCAATATTGAAGCGTAGGATCATGGCGGCAGAATTACACCATTCCTCTATAGTATAAATAACGCGTGATATGAATTTCTTTTTCTGAACGTAACCTTCTAAGCGAATCACGCACAGATGTTTAGACTCTATCAACGTGAATCCCAGCGATAGTTATGGATCGTACATATATATATATATATATATAATGCTTCGGAGGAGGCCGAAATCACCGCAAGTTCGATGGATCGAATATGATAAATCTTTTCATTAAAACAATTAGCCATATCTAGCTGAGAATATTCATCCTCTCGTCCGCGTAAACGTTGCAGCGTCGTCTGGCAACGAAGCGACGAGCGCGAGTCGGCGGTAAAGCTTCGAATCGAAGTTTTGTCGTTTCCCCGATGAAGGATGTCGCCTGTTCTACCCTACTGCTTCGATGAAAGGAATTAACTGTGTCGCCCCTTGATTAGGCGTATCACGTCGCTATTAAGAGGCGACAGTTACTGGTTTGTTAAATAAGATCAGAAAACTAACGCAGCTGCGTTAATAATAATAATAAATTCGGAGAAATCCCGTCTGACCAGCACGTTCTAAACGTAATCATAGATATGGCTAGTATGCTCACTTAGATTAAGTGTAGATTGATTATACAACAAAAAAAGGATCGGTCGCTCAAGAGTCTCAGAAGACTTTAGACAAAAAACGAATGAAATTGATAAATTTCGTTCGCTGACAGACGAACAAATATATTGTTTGTGCGTTGAGAATAGCTCTTACGATAGATTGATTTTCGGAAAGAGATCTCTTACCAAATATATGTCCATTTAATACTGTCGATATAGTGACAGACTAAAAGCATATTATGACACGTGTGTTGTAGAATTTGCATATATACGTTTTTAATTTATACAGTTTGCGATGCTAGACAAGTTGTGGAAGAGTGACTGCAAACCTAGACAATGTTAATGACCTTACGGCCAAGACGTCTGTTCTGTGCCGATGCTCATAAACTCAGTCCTATAAAACGTATCTGTTCGGATCTAAATAGTAAATGTTAACCTATTGATTGAAGAAAATGGCACATTAATTACATGATTCCGAAGATAATTTATTTCAATTTGTTTTAAAATTAATTAATAAAACTGTGGCAATAATGTCAAGTCCTCTGTGTCGGTCTCTTGGTTGGTATATATTTAGTAAGAAAATATAGTTAACGCATATCCTAACTTTTGTCAGTAGAGCCTTTTCTAAACTAGGTGTATCTAACACGAGCAGCGTTATAGCGGGTTTACAGTAGAAGGTTCGATAATTCTTCCGTAGACGCAAAAATAAGAGGACCATTACACACACAGAAAATGTATTTATTTGTCTTAAACGTTCGACCTACAACTGCTATTCGAAATCCGGTTGCGCATGTCCTATCAGGTCCCAATAGAAAAGATTCGCAGTGAATTATTGGTTCAATAACGTTCAGCCTCACGTTCTTTATATGGCTATGACTAATTGATATTAATTGGGCTCACTGGGGCGAACAGGCGCACCAAGCAAAAAAATCAGTAACGTCTCCGCCAGTCCTGCGGCTATAGGACACAAGTCGTGGCTTCTGCTAAGCAGAATGAAACTCCGTTCATCAAATCTGCTTCGCTCGTATAGAGGAATACCATATCACAATGTGCGTGCCAGAGAAGCTGTGTCGTAATGTTGACCATATAAGCGCTTTGTTTTGATCTTGCTTAGTTACAATGGGCTAGTTATTGTGTAATCGCAATAGCACAGACAAACAACATCGTACTGACAACGTACACAGTTGGCGTGTGCGGGAAGATTTATCATGCACTTATACGCATAAATGAGTCCGAGCTTGGAACAAATAGAATTAGGCAAAAATCGAGCAAAATTTCAATCCCATGCGTCCTAGACGTCAAATACGTATAACAATACTAGCTCCTGCCTATTTGCTGGAGGTCTGCACTAGTACTGAGCATAACGCGACCATCAGCTATGGGGAACAATCATCTCACTTTTTCGAACGTTATCTTTGAAACAAATACTTTGCTATTAATGCCTATTTTAAAAACAGTACTATATGTACCGATCGCCAACCCGCACGATACCTCTACTGGCAAACAGACTACATACGATACTGGCATTGCGACGCGTTCCATCGTACCTACTATTGTGTCGTTACTATGTCGTCGCAACAACAACAATAACAAACTTACGAGGTTTGTACCTACACACAAACCTGCGGGGAAGATGTCAACGCTATACTTGAACTGATTCCTGATGCGAAGGATAAGTAGGGGGAAGCACCAATGTATACCGTAAATGAGGAAGTGTACGAATACGGCAATTGAGCAGATGACCCAGCCCCAGCCACTTTCGGGGTAGTAGTGTTGTCGAATCGTGCTCACTTTGGGCTTATCGAACGCTGCCAGCGATATGCCAGGAGGTATGACGATTCCTTTGAGTTCGGCTTCTCTTTGCTCCCTTCGAAGAACCTCGAGCACGCACGAGACACTGGGCGATCGTCGAACATTTTCATTGTTGTCAGCAGCAGTCCCTTTCGATACGTAGTAGGGCGAGGCTGGATCTGCCGAAAAGACCGACTGCGATCGATAGGTGCGACCCGTCGCCTTGTTGTTATAGTGTATTTGTGACGGTCGCTCGCCCGAATGGTATGAGCCGGAAGACAGTTCGTCCAGAAACTCCTCAATCTGCTTTTTGCTTACACCTTTTTTCGTAGACGACGATTGTTGCTGGTCGGCGGACGAGTCGCATCGATTCACTTTTGGCTGATCTTTCGACTCGCGGCTCAGCTGCTTATGCGAGGTCTGGAACGAGGACTGTGCAATGGGCAGTGGAGGAGGCATCGGTGAACTAGAAACGTCAGCGGCGACTACGACTGGCGAATCGGGCGCGCCTCCGCCACCGTTCCTCTGCAGCGACCTTTTACGTTCGTCTTCCCATTCCGAATCAGACGTCGGCAGACGCGTTTGCTGTGTAAGATTCGATTCGTTGCTACTTTTGCCTGATAAAAGCGAGCGCGTAAAATGGATACTCGCTTTGCGTAAAGGCGTCTTTGCCTCTTCATCGGACGTAAGGGAGTCCATCCTTCGGGCAGGCATCTTAAATAGGCTGAGTTTACGGAGGAACTTTTTCCTCGGGTGCTCCGGGGTGACGGCGGTGGCCGCGCCATTACGAAACAAGTCGACGGGGGATTCACGCACGTCCGCATCAGTGTCGTCTGTCGGCTGACGTTGTAAGGGCACCTTGTGGCCACTGGTCGTAGCCTGTGTGTCACTATGAGGACCTCGTATCGCCTCCGCTTTTCCCAAAGGAGGGCTTGCGGTCGCTGTTTGCATTGCCACAGTGCAATTGGAGGCCACTGTTGTTGCTGCTGCAGGTAGATAGGTCGCCACAGGACCGTTGGCTTCCTGTGTCGCTGCGTTGCGCGCATCGTACGAGCTCCCCGTAAGGGTTACCGCCGGGTATAAATGTGTTGGTGACTGAGTTGTCGTAAAACAGTGTAACGAGGCCGTTCTCACTGCTGACGACTGGTTAAGAACATCTAGGAATGGCGGATTTGGTCGTGTTGGAGTGTCAGAAGCCGTCGCTAGCTCCGCGGGATCGACACTCACGCACTGTAGGTTGCTGTCGTCGTCAATAAACGGTATCGGAGAGGATTCGCCCTTGGGGGCGTCAAAATGCGGCATGCTCGGAGTCGAAAACGATAGAGTGCGCGTAGACAGAGCTGACAGAGCTCAGAGTGGCAGAGTGCCACACTGAATCGCTGCATGTCGCGACAATCAGTTCCTTCGATTAAGATTTACGCGGCAGCCCGCGTAACTGCGAAGCACGTCATCATTAATGTCGACTTCTTAGCGTAATGGCATAGACGTTTATACCGACGCCCGTTGGTCACTTAACTTACTTTGTTTTATCCTTCAGTGGACGACAGACCCAGATGAGTGAAACACAAAATAGAGAGGGTGGAATAAGTTAGAGTTTTGAAGGAGCAGTTGTATTTCAACGCTGTTCGAATGGCCCGAACCCAGCAGACCGCTTAATACAGACACATACCCTTAGGTAAACCACATAAGCATTGATGAAAAGCAAAGGACTTTGTTAATAGCAACAGCAGGAAGCTCCTTGGCATTTACTTGCATATCAGTCTACCTAATGCTAGCAGAGGTTTAATTTCGGAACCGCCATATAAATATCTCATACTGCCTTCTTGCCCCAAATCTGTCGTCGAACGCGGGAATACAAAAGAATTGATTCACGTGCACCACGCGCACTTCTCCTTTTTTTCACACTTATCACGGATGAAATCACTTGTTCGTGCACAAACGTATCACGATGACACCGTACGAATTTATTTCTTGCTATAGGTTAGATTATGGGGGTAAGAACGATAAATAGACAACCGCATGCTCGTCTGCTCCGAGTTTTTAGTAATCATCACTGTAATTTTTAGCGCTATTTCGTGTCACACTGCCACTGAACAGCAATACCCGCCTCTAGACGACTTGATATTTCCTAACAGCTAAATGCCGATTACGACTGTAATATTTTCTAAGCGGTCTCTTCTAGCGCGGGTCCAATGCTAGCTTCCGGTAGCTCGTGTGCTATGCAGCTGATAACACTGTCTATGTCGAAACATGTGCTCGAAAAAACAAACAGATCTGCTATTGGCACTACTACTACCAGCCGGGGCACAACTTGTAATGGCTGTTCGTCTCGTGGAACGATGTCTAATGAAGGCAATGTGTTTATGTCGTAGCCAGTATTCCACCCAGTTGTCAGGATGCATATATACGCCGTGTGTATCGGTGTTCGATGCTCGATGCACGTTGCTCCATGCAGTTGTTTCCCGCGGGTTGCTCACCGTCGGTGTGGTTGCCTTTCTGACGTTTTTCTGTTCTTCTGGACGACCGCCACTAGACAGGACGTTGGATATCTATTGACAGACAGAACTGGATTGAAGGTGTCGGCTTGACTGGATGTTCCTTCGGCCATTGGTCAGGACTCGGGAAGACGGGAAACACATGGCCGCGGAAACCATGAAAGACTGCTGCTGCTGCTGCCGTCGGCGCGGCCGCAGCTTCTGCTGTGGCTTGTCCGGAGAGGATGCACAACAATCCCTCTCCCGCCGCTTCCTGGTCAGATCAGGCGACAGCAACGATCAGAAGCTATACGGTGGCGGTAACGACGAACGAACGCATGACCATCTTACATCCTTCGATTTTTCCAATCCCAACACACATGCAACAAATACATCGCCGCCGCAACGCATCGAGAAGAAAAGGAACTAAGACCACACGGTGGGTACACACACAGGAAGATCGGCGGACGGATAGGCCGATGGTAGGAAAGATACCGAGTTGCATGATGACTGGCGACCACGGCTCATGGTCACAGACCAGGCTGAATACCCCGGATCAGCCTATAGCCAGCGGTGACAGGTGCGTTTCGAACGTGAGTCGCTGCCCAGCAGCGCTGCAGCCAACCAACCAACCTATAAAAAAGTAACCAAGAGTTGGAGGACGTGTGGAAACCGGTTTTCACATGTCGACAATGACAGTATTTGATCCGCGCATCGCGGTTCTAGCTCTGCTGATAATAATAAGTAGCACCAGTTACACTAGGAATAATGTCAAAAATGGCTATTAAAGGCATTAGAGAGCTTCTACGACCATCAAGGCATATCGGTGACAAGCAAAAATAGTCTTGTTTGCAGCGTCTGCTTGTTACGCTGACCGTGACAGTGAACCGAAGATTAACTGAACACTCTGGCCTATAATAGTGGAAAGCTGGATCAGGTTCATCCGAAGCGAAAGCGGCAGCAGAAATATCGTTTACCGTATCATTTAAATTATCACGTGATTTGAGCTGATGTGGCGACTAATGCAGCCATCTCTACGATAGCCATTGTTCACACTCATCGAGACCGGATTTTGGGTTAGCACACGACAAACGTCTCTCCGTAGCTCTGGCATACGTGCGCCACACCGTTCTAGCGTACGATCTTTCATTGGATGCGCATCTCTGCGTTCTGTTCGCCGGCTGGTAGCGCGACTCATGTATGAACTCCATGAGGTCCTGTTGATTCCGGGGAAGGGCCTTTGAGAGAGGGTTACCGGGGCCTTTCTGATTGCGCGGGCCCTTTGAGACCAACGGCGTCGTCGAAAGAGAGCTCAAACCTCTACCGCATAAGGCATATATAATTTCAACTGAATGTGTGAACAAATACGGAACTTTGATATTCTATGAAATCGCAAATGATTAATTTGTCAAGTTCAGACTGGAGAAATTTTCGCCCAACAATATCACTTTAAAGGATGAAAAAGACTTTTATTAACAAAACGGTGTTGTCTTTAGCAAATCTCGAAGGAACAGTCTTAATTCGCGTGAAGGGCCGGAACAAAAAAAACAATAGAAATATAAAAACGGATTTTGATGAATTGCTAAATGCTAGATCTATTATATTTTTGATCTACACTAAATGGTCTAAAAACTAATACAAAAAAGGTGCCGTGACATCTGTACTTGTCAATATTTTCTTCAATATACGAGATACGATCTTGTTTTACGGTTGAATATACAGTTCAAATAAGGGCATGTTGAAAGTGCCATATATCTCTATTCTTATCACTGGAAATCATATTTAAAAAAAATGTTGCCAAATGTTTAAGGCGATCAAAAAAATGTAAGCTGTCCTATCATTGCAGCATGTCTGTTATTCAATATAGTTGATGTGTTCGGAGGCACCCCTCTGTCTAGTTGTTTTCGAGGTGAGGACACCAGAATTTTCCTTTTTTTTTTGATAAAAAAAAAAAAAACAGATCCGTGCAGACGTCGCTGTCCGCTCATAACGATTATTGTTTTTTATTTGTTGTTTATTCTCTCCTGTCCTTCCGTTGATCATTGCAACAATTTCTACTGTCCGAAACTATCAAGCGAGACCAGACCTAAACAAGTAGACTTAATGTATCGGTGTAAAAGGCGAATCAATTGATGGTGCATATCCATATTCTATTTAGTCTGTTTATACGTACAAACTCGACCCATAATCAGCTACCGGTAATCCTCGTTACCTGGAGACTATCCTTTAGAGGTGTGCCAAGACGGTACTATTTGGTTTATCGGTGTGCCGCTGGTTGAGCGTATACGCGAGGAACAGAACGCACCGTAAATCTACCAGTTGGCCGTAGTAACATTTGACACGATTGCCTGAAGAGTACTGTTCCTTTGACGCTTTTCTAATGATTGCAGCTTTCGCATCTGCATATAGGACAGCTGATCCTTACTAATACGTGACGAATGGTGCATCACACAATAATCAACACAGAATAGCGGTGCAGTAGCTACTTCAATCGTTGGTTTTTCTGGTAGCCAATGTTGGTGATAAATCAACGACGGTGGTGACGACCGCGAAAAATCTAATAACATTTACCGAATCAAACGAGGGCCACGCGTACACACATACGCACATCACACAGATATGTACAATAAACGAGGTAAAAATGTTAATTAGTTATGTACATATGCGTTGTACTAGATAGAAATGACAATGATTATAGATAATTTAGAAAATTTAGTAACTATCGCACTAAATAGGCTTGTTTAGTAGCAGTTTACTACCACCAAAATATACGAGGATTGAAATTTACCACGCTAGTAATCTTCACTTCACAAAAACGTGAGCCAGATTAATGCGTCTGCTGCTAAACCTACTTAACTAATAGATGGTTTTAAAGTACCGCGTCGTTCTAATAGTTGAGTAGGGTCGCCTTGACCATTAGTGTTCCTTATGGTACCTACCTATACATTGCATTTGAAAATTCTTGGTTTGGACTACAATGTTATCTAAATCTATCTAATCAGAGATTTTAGGAACAAAGTTTAAATTTATCTAACCAACGAACTTCACTAAACAGAAAGGCTCTGATAATAATACCACAGTCGCCTATGACCTCATCCTAAATGACGACTTACCTTCTATTAGACAGCCTATTATCCGTCTTGGCCTGTTCGTTCCTAACGACGATATCCGATTAATTACTGCTTTTGTTCACACCTAATCAACTGCACACGCCGTACTGAAGCAGAATTATGCCTACCACTGTAACATCCGGTGTAAAAAAATACTGTTTTTCTTCGAACTGATGACGAGATGATCTTTTCGATAAGTTGCTACATATAACTAAGTGTACTTAAACAACGCTGAAAGTATAAATTTAGCTTGAAGGTTTATTTATTCGCATGAGACTGCATTGGCCTGAAAAGAGGTTTGCTAAATAGGCAGACCGTGCGGATTGTTCTAGGCTATAGCGAGTAAAATCTCATTTTGTTAACGAAGCGCTAGAGCAAAAAATGACGTTTTGAAGTCGGCCGCACCTATGAGTCAAAATGTTATCAATTAGCGTCACATGCTAGCGTGTAGGTTTATTTTGAAGGATATATAGATGCTTAGGTTCGCTCATTTGCTTACTTCTTTGTCGGCTTCTGCAGACGAAAATAGTATCAACTAATATCTACACAGGTTTTGGCCTTGTTTAAGGTTTACATGGTGCCACAGGCTTGTGACTCATTTCGCCATTCTGCTATGTCTTTTGCCTAACATGTGCCTGTATTAGCTACCGCCACGTATGAACTAGAAGACCTTGCGTCTATGTGGCTGTGACTTGTTATCTCTCAGCACATAGTGAGCTTAATAGAGACCTAAAAAAAGAACTATGGCTCGGTAGAAGAAGTTTGATTATGGAAGGTATTGGCGACCCCTTCCAGCAGTTGTGTGGCATTATTCCTAGTCTAAATACGAATGTAATTTCAAATGTTCAGGTAGAAGTAGATGCCGCCACCTTTAATAAAGCTGTTGATCGTTAGACCGTTAAGAATTGCTTATCCTATGGCTTATGCTCTATTTTACGTGTGCGCAGTATGTTCAGCCGTTGCGATCAGGGCTCGACACCATCAATCATCCACAATGTGCCAATATCACGACAACTATATTAAGAGGATGATCTTAGTTTTTCTGGAAACTATTTCCGGTTGCATTAAACGCTGTTAAATATAGTAGGCATAGTATATTTTAGTAACGTTTCATGCTCAGCTTAAAAGTCCACTAGCCTAGCATGAGATAAGGCACATTGTACACTGCCGAAGCTATATCATCTTTTTCAACAGGGGTTTTAGTCAGCGTACTGTTGAAATAGCACGTGTTAGTTTCAATACGTGTCGGCATCATTACACGGCTGTAATACAGCGGGATGCCAATCAATCAATCAATCAATCAGAGGAGCTACTCGACATTTCAAAGAAACATCAAGTGAAGATTTTGCCATCCTAATCAGAGCAAAAGCAGAGTTAAGCTATCTAGCTCTATGTTGGAATAAATATAATAAAACAATAACATTCAACAAGAATACAAACCATTCAGCAATGTGTTTTGCGGCCTTTGGCATTACTACGAATTAAATTTCGACATGCCCACTATAAAATTGTTCTTAAAAATAATTTTTAATTAAATAGTGATTAGAATATGAACTAATACGTCTTCATGCATTGTTGGATCAATGAAGTGAAAGACGTTGCGATGGCTTGAGGACTCCAAAAGGTAAGAACCTACCAAAAATAGATTGCCTCATTGACGTATGCTCCTTGTGCCGTATATTCAGACGTTGTCTTAGCGGGTTCTAGTATTGAACAACCCTTCTGCTGGGCCACCTGTCTGTTGATATTAGATGCATCTTCGTTATGTTTTGACAGTTAAGAGCGCAGCTATGTCTACTAGTGTTGTCAAGAGAGTGAATTGACGATGATATGATATAAACCTGCCTATCATTTTTATTAAAATTATGAGTTTCGCTCAAGAATATTCGTCTGCATCATAAGGCTCCTGGTGGGGGCTCGATCTATGGCCATTGCAGACTATATTTGGCTGAATCGTTGCATAGTATCCGGCTCTTCTTTGGTCGTCGAATTTGATTTGGTAAAATTAGAAATACCCACTCGATACCAGGTGCTCCATGTTCCAAGCTTCATGGCAAGTATCGCCGTTCTCCAGCACACAACGAGTGGTGTATCTACGCCATGGGTTCGAATCTAGCCCACAGCATTTGTCTACAATTAGCTTGCAAGTATGTTACCCACTAAGCTATTATTTGGGCCAATTTCGCGCTCACCCCAATTACACTCATCCATAGAGGCCATAAAATACCGTAAATCGTATAATTAGAGTATTTTAACAATGCATATGATGCCGTTGCAGTACATGTATGGGTGATAGAATTTTTAGAGATTTTGCGACGATGGCTTACATCAACCTTGTTCTTGTCACGAGATCTGAAAAAAAGATTAGCGGTAAATGTATACAGCTTAACAAATGTAAAATTCGCTGGATGATCACTACATGAACTGTCTGTAGTGCTTCCCTTCAGTATCTTTCTGGCTTTTGTGGCGACCC